ATAATTTATGTAGTAATTTATATAATTAATATATATTAAGTTTATTAAATTAACTTATGTGCACCAGGGTGAAAGGACACTTCATTTCCCAGAATGCATTGCTTGTGTTGAATTTCTCTGAATTTCAGTTAGGTAAATTGCTCTTTCTGTCATTCCAATTCAGCTTCCTGAGGTCAAAATGATCAAAACTTATATGTATAAATGTTATTGTTCCTCAGATACAAACATAAAACACTCAAAGACCTCATTGACTCATTGAACTGTAGGTGATTTAACTAGGAAAGCATGGTGACTTCACAATCACCTAGAGTAACCGCTCTCCCACTGCTCAAAGTAAGATATTCAGTTTTAGAGGAACACATCCTGCACACTCCCACATGCAATAACCTCATCAGATGTGTAATAGCACTCATGGCGAGGGGTCTCTGGGTCAAAAGTGCAGTGTTGGCCTCTCTCGAACATGAGGGGAGCTGGTGAAGATTGGCTGCAGAGTATTGAAACAAAAACTTGGTTCAGTTCTCATAAGAGAGCACCAGGTTATCTCATCGGGAAGTGGTTATGCATGACACTTGATGAAGATGAATGAGTGCTAAAGCTACAGGACAGTGGCAGACCTGCTGATCATGCTGGTAAGAGCAGCAGGGGTGAACGTCAGTGTTATGCAGAAATGTCACTCTGTGAGCTTGGCATATTGATTCATGCAGTGGGTAGTCATTTTGCCAAGGGGGTTTCAAATGCTTTGATAACAAAGACCCCCAAAAATGAAAAATATAGACAGCTAAACATTTTATTTAATTTTATTTATTTATTTTATTATTTGTATTTATTTTTTGCTCTTCACAGACCCCAGTTTGAAAGCCTCTGCATTTATTGAAGTAAAATCCCAATCCCAATCATTGCACAAGGGCACAGTGGTGATATTTGTAGATCATCCTTTTTACAATTATAGCTTATGACCTTCCAGGTTATCATTAACACTATTAGGGCATGTGGTAGGGCTGGGCGATTTTTCAGATTTTATCGATTAATTCGAATTTAATGTTTTTCCACGATTAAATTTTTTATAAATCGAGGAATCACGATTTTGAATAGATATATTACTAAACGTTAGAATTAGACACTTTGACAATATGCCAATGTTAACAGTAAAGAGAAAAGAATGATCCAACCGCATGTTGGCGAACGTGATTAACCGCTCACGAGTGACGCGCTCTGTGAAGGACCATAAGTAGAATATATCACTAGGTGCCATTCACACAGAATGCACTTTTGTGTTGACAAAGATGGGACGCGTGCAGTGGAATAGGAAAAAATGCAGGAAGATGAACTTCTTTTAACTTGAGCGCCATGTTTTTAGAATGCCGTTTAATGCATGAGACGCTGCAAGAGACGCGAGCACAACAGTCAAATGTGTCCATGTTTACACAGAAAAAACAGTGGAAAAGCAGAGCAATCGAATAAAAACCTCTGAAGAACTACTAGTGTATGTATGAAATTTTATGTTTGCATCATGGTGACAGGCTGAAAGCTGCTGTTCATTGTTTTTACAAAACATTTATAGTTAATAATAGTCTACTGGTGTTATACCTTCAGTCATTTTGAATCTGAATTACCTTGACTTTTGAGATTTTTTTAAAAAGTATTTTCCTTGTATTATTTCTGAACATATAATATGTATAAGACAAGTTTGTAGAAGATGTAGTTGTAGTTCATGCATCTTTTTTTGCAAAGATATTTAACGTTAACAAGTGATTTGTTTAACATTTACATCATGTTGACAACTTCATGTGTGGTGGACTTAAAATAGAAATTTCTTTAACTAGAGGGTTAATAAAGAAAAAGTTACTTGGATCATGTTGTAGTTACATTTTCAAGTTGACTAGTTAAAAATCGTAAAAATCAATGGTGTAATAAGTAATTACACAATTTCAAGCATTTTATCTGCGTTATATGTTCTGTAAAAAAAAATTTTCATATCGGCGGCATATCGGAGGCATATTCGCCGATACTGATATATCAGCGACAGGCTCATATTGGCCGATAATATCGGCTAAACGATATATCGGTCGGGCTCTAATTCTTACCGTAGATGCTTATCAGTTAATGTCTTTTTTATTTGTTAGTTTATTAGTTTATTGGCCAGTATTGCACATTTTTTTATATCTTTTTAAATCCTGCATAATATTATGAAATGCACTGTTTCATGGTCATTGGTTATAACCTGAAAATGATCAGCTCGTATGTATGATGATTAAATTGTTTTCCTTTGACTCCCCTTGCGTAACTATAATGTGGTCAGACAGCGCTGGCCCTCTGAGGCCAGAAAGCAGCTGTCATTTGGTAGTCACCATCCACGGCAGCATTAGTTCCACCACTGGCTCTTTTTGTTGCTTAACGGAAAAGAGATGGAGTGAAAAAAGAGGGTAAAGGGGGTAAAGTCTCCCTGATCCCCTTTTCCATGCGCCGGGTAATCCAGAGGCCGCCGTCAGCACAAATGTGGCTTTGATAGCCGGGAGAGGGTGCAACTGAACACGGTGCCCCTGAATGTGTTTATGGGCAAGCGAGTGTGTGGGTATGTGTTTGTGTGAAGTTGCAAATCTAAGGGGAAAAGGGTCAAAAGAAGCTGTATGGAAAGAAGGCCCTATGTGGAAAATTCATTTGGAATGTGTCTGGAAATTGGACAGCATTCATGTTGGGTTGTCCTCTGCGTGCTTGGGCTGACCAGACAGCAGGCTGAAATTACATAATGAAAGCGGATGAATCAGAAATCTTTATCTCAAGCACTGAATCAGTCTGAGGAAATGAGATGTGGTGATGTAGATGTAGTGATCAGACAGGTTCATGCCATTGTGTCGTTGCAGACCACAGGTTCCTAATCTAAACAAAAGATTCATTCAGAATGAGTATAAGCTCTTCCTCCGGCAGGTCATGTTTAGTGTTTGATGACGTGTTTGTTGGCATCAGGTGTCAAAATAACACATGATAATGATTGTTGTATTACTTAAGCTGAACTTAGATGTTTGGTGCAGTATTTGGACTTGTATTTGTTTGTCTTGTGTGTCCTTTCAGAACATTTTATTTTGCTTTTATTAGTGGTGTTTGCTAAAAAAAAAATCTATTATTATTGCTCATATTTAAAAGTTATGAATTTGAACAAATGGTAACACTTTAGATTAGGGAACATATATTCACTATTATTATTATGGAAATCAATGGCTACCAGCAACTGTTTGGTTACCAAAATTCTTCAGAATACCTTATGTTTGACACGATATGAGGGCAGAATTTAATTTTTTTTTTTTTTTTTTGGTGATCTATCCCTTTAACCCCCCTGAGGGTGAGTAAATGATGACAGAAATTATTATTATTTATTTTTTTGGTGAACTATCCCTTTAAGGATCTATAATATATGACCTGTGCTAGCAAAATTAGTCACAATGAGCACATTTCCAAAAATTTGTTATTTTTATTTTCCCATTCTCCATTAAAAGACCTTCAAAATGGTGTGTGATTTGTTGGAATCGACCAAAAAATGACTTTGAAGTCAATAGTCAGCAAATCGATTTTGAGAAAAATCGAGTTAAAGTTTTCTGAAGGTTCCAAAGGAAAATCACCTAGCAACATTGCATCTTTCCCTTCAATTATTTTCTTAATAATAATTACTATATTAATAATTATATAGCTATTTTTTTATTTTATCTGTGTTATTAAAAATAAGAACAGAAACAAAAAAACCCCCAATATAACAAATATAAAAAAGAAACAAATAGTGCATTACTTTTTTCATTTTACATCTAAACAAAAGCATTCAAGTAAGAAAAATAATCAAATGAAAATCACTTTAGTGTGTTCATTACAAATAAAATGATTATTAAAACTACAAAATCAGTTCAATCAAAAGCAACGAGTGATTCCCTCGTTTCTTTTATCATTTGATTATTGTTTGATTTATCGTTTGACTTTAATGCAACAGATGGCCAATTTTAAGACATACTGTAATGCACGGATCTAATATAATGTTACACATCAGATGTCTTTCCCCAACAGTTCCCCAAACGTCATTTAAGACATAACAGATTATGTTTGCGTGAATTCTTAAATACTGTAATTCTGTGTATATGTGTATTTGTCGGGATCGTGCGCCGTCCGAGGCGCCTTTATGCGTGCGCTTCGGATGTCAGTCAGCACAAGAAGCGAGCAGAGAAAAGGTACTCCTCTCAGAAAATGTGCAAATAAAGATCATTTTAGATGTTTAATTACTATTTGGAGCATTGGGATCTCTAGATGAGGGCTTAATGAACTCATTTTTGTGAAAACCTCAAATTCGACCAAAATCAACATTTTTCACATTTTTTGCCTTTAGCTCAAAATTAGCCCGTGCTCATTCCGACTCATTTTGCCAGCACGGGTCACATATGGTCATGCAGAATAAGGTTTTAATATGTGCTTTATAAGTACTAATAAACAGCCAATGTGCTAGTAATATGCATGCTAATAAGCAGCTAGTTAATAGTGAATAGTGTTCCCTAATAGTGTTACCGAACAAACACCTAACTTTAAGTATGAAACTATGGTGTGCAATTGTTCTCACCACTTGTGCTTGCAGACATGAAGGGTGCCACAAATTGTGTGAATAACTGAGAAGAATTTGTTTGATAAAACTTATGATTTTTGCCCAGTGAACTATAACATAGATGGGATGGGATCTTTTGACTTGAGCCAGTAAGCAACCACTAAGAAACGCCGTAACAACTACTCCGAACACCCTAGCAACCAACTAGCAACTCCCTTGCAACCACACAAAACACCCTAGCAACCAACTAGCAATGCCTGGCAACTACCCACAACACGAGTATCATGGTAGCAAGTTTTGATAAATCAGGCACCAATCAAGATTTTATTCCAAAAATGTAAACATTTAGTGTTTTTTTTGTTGTTGTTTTTTTGTTTAGTTTAGTTTAGTTTTTCCTGACTGTGGTGCTTCCGTATGTGTGTTTCAGATCACCAGGACTGTATGCACCAGGTGGTTCACGAGCGTCTGGGAGAGCTGTTGCGTGTATTAAAAGCTGTGATTTCCAAGCATCACTCCCTGAATTCAGTGGAGATCCTCAGTGCGGCCGGGACCCTCATCGCAAAGGTCAAAGGTAAAGCATTGTCTCACTCGCGGCCTTCGACTTTAATATGATACAGTGTAGAAGAAAGAGGGAGAGACACTTATTCGCTTGATATCTTGTTCCTTAAACTCCTTCTCACAAGTAGGGCTGTGCGATTAATCGAAATCGAATCGAAATCGCGATTTGAGACGTTGCGATTTCCTAATCGCAAAGCCTGCGATATCAAGCCTCCCACTCTCATTTTGCACTTAGGATCGCTCAAAATTGTCACTAGTAACCATAAACCCAAAATTGCCAGAGATGATTTTCCAGCAATGTGCACAAAGCTTTCTGAGAAGCATGCGAAAATCAGATCTTTCAAAAAGAGACATTGTTTCTCAAGCTTCTCAAAGGGCTGACATTGGAAAAGCAGAACAATACACGTCTGCAAGTGTGTTTGTGTGTGCTTGTATGAGTGGGTGCAAACGCTTGCTTGGAGTACAATGTCCTTGTCAGAGTAGACGAATCCCGTTTCACTCGGTTCCACGGTAAGAGATTAGCATCTCCATGCATGGCATTGCTTCACTTGGCTTGTGGACAAGAATCTCAGAAGTTATCTGCATAGCATCTAAACCCCTTTTTTGTGTGAGTGTTTTGATTATGCTATCTTAGAAGCTACTTAGTTTGATATTTTATTATCTAAATCAATGACACTTTAAGTGTTGCTTAAGTGTGAATGTACTTTTTAGGACTGCTTTATGCACATGCATATGTGTCAGTATTAATTTCATAGACAAATATTAATTTAACCACATTTTCTGAAATGTGTAGTGTCAGAGATGTCAATATTTTCGGTGTTGAAATGGCTGCGGGTTCTCACTTGTTAACACAAACAGAGGCAGGATTTGGTAAATGACAGGTTTTGGTTTATTATGTGGACACTTTACTTGCACTCGGCACTGTTATTGGGAACTGAAGCTAAATGCCTAGCTTTGTTTTGACAGTTGGACTCATAGTGGGTCCTGTGATGTTTCTGTATAAACACATCTCCAAACGTTTTGGCTTCCTCTTTCTAAAAAGTTATGTTGCTATGCATACCTTTTGGTTTCCTCTTTCTGTGCAGCTAGGGAGTTTTCTCTGTGTAGTCAAATTTATTTCACTTAAATTTGGTTTGTTAGTCTTTAATATGCATAAAGTGTGGCTCTGGCGTACATAAATCTTTGTATGTGTGCATAACTACTAAAATATACAAGATCAATATATTGACAGCAACTTTTTAGATATTAATTAATATGTAGGAATCCTTTGAGGTAATATCATATCAATATCAGAACATTAAATTAATATGTTTATTTAGATTTTATTGATTTAATTTCAATGTATTGTAATTATAATAAATTATATATTATACATATTATATTATATTATTCATTAAATTTATAAATAAATTATGCATTTTAAAAGTCTCAGTAATTCTCAGTATTTCGCTGATAAATGTTCTCCACAATTTACTGATAAATATGTGAAAGTTGTGAAAGTTTATATTTTTGAAAATCCTGTCAATTATTATATTATATTATATATTTTAAAAGTCTCTAAGTCTGTTTTGAACATTGATATTGTAAGTTTCTTGTTTAATCAAATGTTCAAAAAATAGTAGTACATTTCTAAATCAATGCACAATTCCAGCTTCTTCCACTAGAGGGTCAAAATGCTTCTTATGTTGCCATCTCTTTCCAAACTCTCTCTCAGACACACACACACACACACACACACACACTGAAACCTTTGTAATGTGAAACTTGAATGATCAGTGTTCTAGCTCTGTGGCTCGGAGATTAGAATAAGAGAAAGTTGAATATCCGGATCGGGGAGCTCCAAGCATGATAAGAACTCCGCTGTGGAGTTTGAACAGGCCTGAGTCTCTCATGTTCAGTCCAGCACATGCGTCCGCTGCAGAAATGTGACACTGACCCTCCTGGCTGGGCCTCAGGATGAGATAGGGACCAGCAGGAGTTTAGGCAAACCTTCACGGAGACTCAAGGGAGGACTGCGGTCCAGAATGTTATGTGAACATCGCAATACAAACTCCCCAAAAGCCGAATATCCTGATGGGAAGATATGTGCTGATGTTGACGAACCTCGTGCGACTTGTCCTTGATGGTTTTAGAGCTTAGCGTACCATCCTGTTCTGAGGAAATAAAAATAAAGCTTGTTTTCTTGAACTACAACCACGAGGAGGTTTTTCACCTTCCTCTTTTCGTCCTGCATCGCTGTTACGCAAGAACTTTCAGGCTTTCTCATGCAACATTCTTGCATGTATTGGGTTTCAAAAGTAATTGAAGTTTCTCTGTGGTATGGCGTCTCTCATGGGCTGCCAACAAAAAGGGGGGTGTGTTTGTTTCCATCAGCCCTGTGCCTCTTTACCTCTCATCACCTACATCCCTCAGGGAAGCTCCAAACCCCCTTCATCGGGACCTTTTGACTAAGTGCGGCTCTCCTACTTCCCAGAGGCTATGGAGTCGAATCTATCGAATTCTTCTTCACACCCAGTTAGGTGCATTTTAACCACCTCTAATGTGGGGACGTGCCAGTGTCATCCTTATCTGAACAGATAGGTCTGGTGTCTACTGTGGGAAACATCCAAACAGGGTTTCCAGGGGCTCAGTGTTTGGTCTCATCCATGTTTTATCAGTTCCTCCCTCTAGATTTAGAGTTGAAATTGATTAGCAAGCCTTACTGGTGCCTGATTTCCCAGAGAGAAGGGGGAAAAACGTGAAAAAACAATGCCATTTTTGCTTGATGATGTAACTTCCACGTTTGGATTGTGTGTGGACGGTGAGGGCTGCCATTGTGTTCTTGCGAGCTTCAGGATGTCCTGTTGGGGAGGGGTATATGGAGGGATGAGGGGACGTGAGGACCAGACAGAACTTCGTAAACGGTGGTAGAAGGAGTTTCTGATCCGCATCACGTACGCTTCAGAATACAAAACCGTTTTTTGGAAGATCTCAAAGGGTCAAGAAGATCAACCTTTCTGCCTTGGTTTTTCCATTTAGTCAAAGATTTTCTTTAAGCAAAGTTTGTTGGAGAATTTTGAGGAAAGACCCTAAAACGTTTCCCGGAAACTATTAGATCTTGACTTTTCATCTGTCTTTTCCTGGCGGTTTGGTGTGTGCTAACTGGATGGGAAGTGTGGTGGTCGGTAAGTGTTCGCTTCGAGGAACTGGTTTGTGTCTTGAAGGGAGGTTCTTCATTTGCTTTTTAGCCACACTACAAATTTTAAGAGTTTTCGAAAGTTCCTGAAGCTTTTCAGTTGAATGGCACCAGAACGCTAAACTGAGACTGTAATGATTCACTGTTTAGTTAGTAGAGTTTAAACCAGTATTGACAGATAGAAAGGGAAACTAGGTATATGACAGGTGAAATCTGCTAGAATGAGATACATGGACATCTACTGGCCTTCTTTCTCTTCACAAATCTTTGTTCTCCTACTTTTGGAGGGTGTGTTGGGGTGGATTTGGAGTCGAGGGTGGAGGGTGTTGAAATAGGAAAGGCGTCAGTGGATTTGGCGAGGTCTACCACTTGTTTATTTTCACAGTGTTTATTATTGGAGCTGATTGTAGCTTATTTACACTGCTGTTTAGTTCCTCCCCATCTTTACCAGTCGAGTGTTTAGACTCAGGAAGCCAAGTTTTCTTTAGATTGCAGACCGAGCCATGATGTTACTACCAATCTTAGAGTAGAATTTGACTTCATCATCATCATATATTTTTATGTAGGAAGTGACTGGAAAAATGTATGAAACTAAGTTTATTTAACTAGTAATTTTTAAATGTTTAATAATATACATTATTAATTCTGTTTACATTATTATCATTTACAATTTTGCATAATTTTTAATGTAAGATTTTATATAAACAATACAATCAATGCATATTTATTTATTTGTTTTTGTTTGTTTGTTTTAGTAGCCATATAATAAGCAAGATTTTTTTAAATGTTTTTTAATATTTTCATATCAACTTTTTTTCTTATCTTCTCTCATCTTTACAGGTGTGAACTTCAAGGAAGTGAATGAAGACAATAAGCAGACTCTCTTTTCTGAGATCTACACTTCCATAGATACATTGGCCTTCACGTTTGGCAATGTGTAAGTGCAGCACAGTTGTTTCATTATATGATACTGTAAATTAATTGCTTTATTATGAAACATTATCTGATTAGTCATTTTAAAAAACACCTGAAACATCTGCACACAGGATAGCGACCTCCCTGAGTCGGCAAGCTGAATGTGTGTTCAGCTCATGCCTGTTTTATAAGATAACACAGACTCTACGTGGTTTAGGTGTTGCTTGTTGTTTTTAACGTCAGGAGTGCGCATGATGGTGTGTGCGAGTCATTAGCTTTGTTCCAAATCCTGGCGAACTTCAGCATTTTAAGGCATCATATGCAAAAGCTGTTTCAAATGTAAACTTAATTACACTAACTCCTAAAATATCTTGTTTTTGGAAAAATTCCAAGAGAGAATAGCATTGTTTGCATAGAAGGCAATGGCTCCATCCGAATATGCATATTTCCCTACTATATAGTAGGCAAAAACAGTATGTGAAAAATGTAGTGTCCAACTTCACAGTATTCATAAAACAGTAAGCAAAAAGTACTACTTCTGGCAAGCTTTACTATCTTTACTATCCCATGAGGCCACGGGAGAGGAATTGTGAATTGCAGTGAAGTGATACAACTGATGCTGTAAGTCACTTGATAATGACAACATGAGTGTAGTGTCTGGATTACATTCATACTACACACTTTCATGTATAGAACATTTTTAATGGTCGCAAAGTAAATACTTATTCAAAAGAAGTACCTTCTCGGAATCTATGTTTGAAAAATAAATCCATGATGTTGGATGAGGTGAGTGAAGTGTTGCTTAGAAAATTATTCCTAAATATAATTCAGAGTCAAATAAAATGGATTGTTGTCAAAATATTTGTCTATGCTATGAGTTTTTATGCATTACATTGTTAGCTTAGCAACATGCTAACAGCAAACCCTGTTGGAATTAAGCCCTGTGCTAATTGTATCAATATATTTTTGAGTTGCTGTCTATGTAAAGTATTCCAATTCTAAATTCCAAAATATATATGAGGTTTCATGACGGTTAGGGCCGTTTACAAACTTGTTTTTGCATTTTAACTGTGCTGTTTTTCCATTGTTTTTCTGAGTAAAAATTGCACTGAACAGCTGTGTTTGACTGTTGTGCTTGCGTCTTTTGCAATGTCTTGTGCATAGCAAGGCGTTCTAAAACACGGCACTCTAGTTGAAAGTAGTTTGACTATTAAAAATGTATCTCTACTGTTTTTTAGACTATTTTTATGTAGGTCTGTATTGAAGAGTAATATGCTGCGTTCAAGTCCTCCTGGGACGTTCGTACTTACGAGTTGACAAGTCGTAATTACGACGTCAGGTGTGTTCAAGTCAGTTTAGTCGGCACAAGATGGCGGTGTACCTTCTTTTAATAAATTACAAGAAAATACAACAGGGTCTGTTAACTCTGCTTATAGAAAATGAAGAGCAAATAACTCGTATCAGGTGTGTTTTGCGTTTTTAATATTTTTAAAAAGTAATTTAACCTATAAGTATTGTGATTTATGTTTTACTTAGGCAATCTTTATAGGACAACTAAACTATCAAGTTAAACAAAAATTTACCGTCAACTACAGATGTTGCATCCATCGATTCCGCCATGTTTCTCATTGACATGCCCCCAACTCGGAAACTCGGGGCTTAAAGAAAATTTCGAGTTTCCCACTCGTAATAACGACTTTGTGGTGGCGTTCATGTGCGTTCAACTCGTAAATACGATCTATCTGACATGACTTGAACGCACCAAGAGTATTGCAGACAGTGTTAGCGTAGCAACATGACATGCTAATATCAAAACTCCTGTGCACTTTGTGTAAGAATTGCTCATTGTATTAAGCTGCTGTTCCAAATCACTCACTTACAAGGTTTCATGACTCTTAGGATGCTTCCTTAGAAGGCAGCTACCTATGTGGGCAGAAGTTGACAGAGTATCGCATTAGATTTTGGAAAAGAGCTGTTTTGCTGCGTATGTGTGTGTTGTTTTAATGCTGAGTAAGTTTTTGTCTTGTCTTCCTCAGAGTGTCTGACTTCCTTATGGGAGATGTGGAGAACGTCTCAGCCTCGGGGCTTTCTCAGGGCCGCAGGAGCAGGGTGAGATTTCCCTGCTATTTCCTCCTCATCATTCACTTTAAAGCAGTCTGATCAACAGGTGGTTGAAAGTCACGTCAGTGTCTGAAGGCTGTAGCCTCTTTCTGTGATGGGGGTCAGAGAGTGCAAAGCTAAGTAAAGAAAAATAGAAACAAGGTCTGTTTTGGAGAAGAGCGCTCTTCCTGTTTGGACCACCCCTGCGATATATCTCATGGAAAAAGCCAGTGACATTTTGGCATTGTGATTTGACTGAGTGCTCTCAGATAAAGCAGATATGGAAGATAAAACTTGTTTCCTTTTCTGTATTGGATTGTTTGTTCGTTCGGCTGTCTTTTTATTGTCTCCTGTGTCTTTCATTTCAGTCTTTTGAAAACCTGACGGTGGAGTCCAGTGGATGTGGACCGGAAAAAGATGACCCTCCAGGTGAGAGTCAGTTCATTTTACTTTATTAAGATTTTTTTTTTTTTTTAAGTTACTTTTAAATATTTTTAAATGATGCCCTTTAAAATCAACATGAAATCCAAATGGACATTTTTTACATCCTTATTCCAAATAAATGAATGAATGAATGTATTTATTTATTTATTAGTTTCTATCTATCTATCTATCTGTCTATCTGTCTATCTATCTATCTATCTATCTATCTATCTGTCTGTCTGTCTGTCTGTCTTTGAAACAGATATATTTTATTTTATTTCTCTGTCACTAAAACAAATTTCTCTTTTCACCTGACGTTACCAAGCTTTCTTTAACTCCTCCCATCTAACCCACTTTTCATGATCCAACTGATTTCTGATGGATGAAATTAAGTTTTATCCATTAAGTTTTATTAAAAATGTCACATTACGGGAAAAAAAACAATTGCAAAGGTTTAAAATAAGCAGCACTTTTTATGCAGATCACACCCACATAGATACACACATATCAAACAGCTCCCTGTTCTCAGATCAGATTTCACTGATCATTCTCAGCATGTGTGAATAAGCTCTCGACTCACACATTCACCATCACTTCAAATCCTGGCAGGGCTTCTTAATGCCAATCCACTTTAATACAGCCCCAAGGTCAGTAAACACTTTCCATCTGTCACTCATACACACACTCACACATATGCAAACACCCTGCCCCTGGTGTAAAAACACTCATGCCTGGGGTGGGCTTGCTGGGATCCATTCGCCAGCCCCTGCTACTCATGCTCACCGATGTGTTTGGCTGTGTGTGTGTCCTCTTCCCAGGTCCCTCTCCTCCCGCGCGGGTGGAGGAGATGGACGGAGTTTTGCTCTGTAGTGACAGCGGGGTGGAGTCGGCCCTGCTCTATGCCAAAGCCTGGTCAAAATATACCAAGGAACTCCTGGCCTGGGTGGACAAACGTCTTAATATGGGTGAGTAAAGCATGTTTATCTATCATCAGTAGATGAGGGAGTTACTTGTTCATCAAGTTACAGTAATATATATATATTAGTTTTAGTGGTCAAGTTGTGGGTTTTTCAGTGACTGATGAAAATATGATATAAAAATGTATAACTGAATATTTAAGTTGGGTATAAGGGTGATTCTATAATTGGAGATACATTTGGCATTGCAGAAAGTTAAGAAAAAAAAACTTTTTTTTTCAGTATCTTATTGAAAACATATTTAATTTTAATAATTCAGTGCTTGCCTTTTTAAAATAATGTTGTAGAATTAGGTAAATGACCCTTTAGGGATTTTATAAATAAAATGAATGAAATATTACAAAAAGAAAAGTACAATAAAATATTTTGATTACACAATGATACATGATGGAAAAATGCTAATGACTAATTCGGACAACAAGAAATCATGATTTTCAGCTATTTAAGACACTTTTTGAAAAAATATTATATTGTTATGGACTGTAACATCTTGTAATTCATAACAATGAGTAACAGTATTAAAATAATTAAAAATATAACCATTTGAAAAAAGCAGAAAAAAAATAATGACTTCGGACACCAAATGTACTTGTCATTATAGAATCACTCATAAGCTCTGCAATCAAGCTAATTAGCAAGCAGTGTGCTAAGTCAATATTGTGGACCTCACAAAACCTAATCTAATTAAAATACAAATGTGAGCATGAAATGATTAATTTTGCAATCTGTAGCTTTGATTATATACTATTTATTATATGTAACATATGCAATGGTCATGATAATAATATTCAAACGAAATACACTAACATTCAAAATTTTGGAGTTAAAGGAACACTCCACTATTTTTGAAAATAGGCTCATTTTCCAACTCCCCTAGAGTTAAACAGTTGAGTTTTACAGTTTCGAATCCATTCAGCCGATCTCCGGGTCTGGCAGTAGCACTTTTAGCTGTAGCTTAGCATAGATAGTTGAATCTGATTAGACCGTTAGCATCTCGCTCAAAAAAGACCAAAGAGTTTCTATATTTTTCCTATTTAAAACTTGACTCTTCTGTAGTTACATCGTGTACTAAGAAAAAAGTTGCGTGCTTAATATCATTGCGCATGCTGCCCCCATGGTACGGTAGCAATATTATAATATTAATCAATATAATATTAATTTGTTGGTTGAATGACTGTATAATTGCCCTGACAATCCATGACTCCATTTTAATTGTATCCTTCACTTTTATTCCCAGACATTGAGTGTGCTAAGAGCTACGCCAAGATGGCTGAATCTGCAAAGACGCTGGCGTCTCAACAGGTTGATATTTCTGTTATGATATGCACTTTATAAAGTACAGTGCAACCTACATATTTCCAGTCTGAGACTATAAACATTCTTTGCTGAATAAATGATGGTGCTATCAAAGCTTTTAATCTGTTTGTTCAATGGCATGTGGTTTATTTCAGGAGCACATGCCATTCCGGGATATTTACATCTCTGCCTTCAAGAACGATATCGAATACAGCCAGTTGATCATGCAAACCACATCTGCTCTACAGTCCAACAAATTCATGCAGGTATGTCTACTATTCCTTGTTTTGATTATAATCTTAAGCGTTCATTGTGTAACTGATTAATATGAAATGTACTACTTCTTTAAAAGTGTATTTGCTTTCCGTGTTTGCTTTTTAGCCTCTGCAAGCTCGAAAGAATGAGCTAGATAAGTTGAGGAAGGAGGTGAAGGAACAATGGCAGAGAGAGCAGAAGAAAATGGTGGGTAGATTTTAATGCAAGCTATCAAAAGCAGTATTCGTGAAATACATCGCTCACCAAAAGGTCTCTTCTGAAAAATGAGCTGGCTGAGCTGTCAGGCTGTTTGTTGTTCAACTTCCCCTGCTGATCTAATAGGGGCTCAGTGTTAGCACTAATTACATCAGATTCTATTGCAGAGACTTCATTCTGCTGGTTTACAGACGTGTCTTTGTGTGAGGTTTTTATAAGTAGCCGTTTAGCACCTCAGCATGACTTCTTATTGTTGAAAAGAGAACAAACAAAGTGTAAGGTAGTGCTTATGTGCACCTATGCTCTGAAGTGCGATTGTTTGTCTTCTAGTGCCTCTGAATGGGCATTGAGTATGTACTTACTCTAGAGCGTTTGTGATTTGTGTGATTTGATAATTATATAAACGTGTTGTGTTGTGGGTGTGTATATGTGCAGAATGTTTTGTGAAGCTTTTTTATTATCTTTATATTTGTCAAGTTTTTTTTTTTTTGAACACAAAATAGTTGTAATGTAGTTTCAAAGTCAACATGGAATCTGATTTTACCCTATTAACTATTTCTGATATGATTTCATTCTGGCAACATTTAAATTGTGTTTTCCATTTTTATTTTAATTTTAGTTAAAAGTTTTAGTAACTTTATGTGTTTCTTTTATTTTTATTATTATTATTTTTTACAATGTCTATATAGTTTTTATTTCAGTTTTAGTTTTGGTTATTTTAGTATATTACCGTATTGTCCCGAATATAAGACAATGTTTTTTTCTTGGAAATACATCTGAAAAAACACAGTCGTCTTATATTCAGGGTCTAGACTTTGACATGTCAATAATACACCTACAACAATAGGTGGCGCCAAATACGCATAAAACGAGTGTGCCATGAAATACGTAATGTAATGTGTGTTGTAAAGATCGCGAGTAAAAACAAAAGAAAAAGAAAACCTTACAGCTGCATGAGTCGTGACTGTCACGTTAGCCTAATGGGACCAAACTCTCTTTGTGATTTTAAAACGTAAGACAGTACCCAGATTTGAAGACTACAGTAAGATTTAACTTCTACTGTTAATAAGATTTTGGTAGGCTACTAATTAGATGGATAGCCTAAATCTTATATTCGGGCCAATACGGTAAGTTAAGTTAAATTCTGCCATGACAACTCTTGGAGAGATTAGCATGGTAATATACATGGCAATGTCAATGTGTTTGGTCTTGGCGGAATAGATCTGCTACGCTGCTGTTGCTGCTGCTGCAGAGCAAGTACCGAGACTTGCTACTGCCAGCACATCCTTGACATGCTGCTGTGAGCATGTAAGAAATACTGCTGCTGCACATATAACATATGAGACAACCCCAAATAAAACATACATGAAATCACCCTGTAGCAGATCTATACAGGTGGAGCTGGGGAAGGTGGAGGGCTTCTGAAGCGCACTGCAACTGCTAAAGCGAGCACTAGCTGAGTATTTGAATGTTTGAGCAGCAAGCTCATTGGCTGCTGATACAAAAAGAACCAATCAGCTGCACCACGTGAATAATGATGTCATTATTTCAGATTGAGCTAGAACCTATCAGCCTGCGCCATCTAGAGTTTCCTGACAGAACATTGTATTGAAAATGAGAAATGTTGCTTTGACAACTAACTGAAATAAAATAAGTTGGGTTTTTTTCATATTTTGTTTTAATTCAAGTAACGAATATTTCATTTTATGTTTTTAGTTTGTTCTTTTAAGATTTCTCTCTTTATATGACCACTTTTATGATTGGCTAATCATGTGGATGCCTTTATATTGTATATTTCCAGCATGAAGCAGACAGTGCGCTGAAGAAGGCCTGGCTCCTGCAGACACAGAGGCAGGAAGAGTACGAGAAAGCCCGCTGCTCCACCAGTCGAGTGGAGGAGGAACAGATCGGAATGGCGGGAGGAAAACAGCTGGAGAAGAGACGCAAACTGGAGGAGGAGGCTCTGCAGAAGGTCAGACACGGATGCAACACACACCACATTCCTTAACACAGCCGTTGCTTTATTCAAGACTTGATGATTGGGAAAAGGATACTGTATTGCACACTTTACTGTCATGTATATTTAAATCTGTGTTAAAGAGTAACTTGATAAAGTAGTGATGCAACTGACTTTATGTTTCAGAAGTGTAAAAGTATCTTGGCTGTTCTGAAAATAGATCAACTCTTCCGTTTACAAGCCATTTTCCCATCAAATAGTGGTGTAGTGTGTCAAATAGTGCTTTTTTGTTTCACATTGTATTTGCCTCTCACTCTAAAATATCATTGGGAAGTCCAATTCATTTTAGTGAATCATTTAAACCGAAATAAACAATTTTTAGAGTTGCTTCCAAATTATTTACTGATTGCTTTAAATTAGAGCTTTGAAGACTTCTGTTTTGTAGCTGTACTTTACCTAAAAGTTTGATTCATTTATATAAATTAGGGAGTTGTTGTTTTTTTACAAGTTGTACATTTAATGTATTTTAATTTGAGTCATTTTGTTACGTGCTTTTGTCATTTTTATTACTTATTTTTATTTATGTATTTATTTTAATTAGTTTATTTCTATACAGCTTTATTTTAATTTCAGTTTTAGTAATTTAGTACTGCAACTTAAATGTTTTAATTAAATGAAATAAATTGCATTTCATTTAGTTGTCAAGGACCAGTGTTGGGGAAAGTTACTTTTAAAAGTAATGCATTACAATATTGCGTTACTCCATAAAAAAGTAACTAATTGCGTTACTTCGTTACTTTTTATGGAAAGTAATGCTGCATTTAATCTTTTTTTCCCCCAGCTTTTTCAGTTAACAGTTTTTAATAGTTTTACTTAACAATAACAATGCTAAATCTTATGTTTTCACCTTAGTTAACATTAAGAACCTTTTTCTTTAGTGTCATTAAATAAAGCTCAAATTTTTTTTAAATATAAAATAAAAATTGTTGGTCATATAATTAAAAACATTAATTATGTTATAAATATTATATATAATATTATAAAATAATATTGCACCTCTAAGTAGTGTCATTGTCACCAAATTATTTATTTGTATTTAGTATAGCTACTATTTTTTCTGTATTATACTACTATAGTCACAACTATAGTTTAACTATAAAATAGTCTCTTGTGGCTTAACAAACTAGTTTCAAATGTATTTTCCCCAAGTCTGCTGCAAATAATCTGTTGTTTTATGATACAAATATGATCCAGAAATGAGAGAAACCAGAAGTATCCTGGTCTAAATATAAATGTATTTGGCTGTTTCTAGGCAGAGGAAGCCCAAGAACATTATAAGCAGTGCATCACAGATGTCGGGGTGAAGAGAATGGACCTGGCCAACACCAAGAGCGAGATACTTACTCAGATTCGAGAGCTTGTGTTTCAGTGCGACCTGACCCTGAAAGCAGTGAGTAATAATGTACACACAAACACACAGTTACATATAATCTAACTTATTACTAGTCATTCAGACAAAACAGGCACACCTGGGCTCCTTGTGGCGGAGTGTAATTGGTTGACCTCACTTCAACAAAGTGACCTCAGGCTACAGATTATATTTCACAATGTATTAAGTAGGAATGACACAGTGGTCAAGTGATAAATCACATATCTTTTGAACTGTTAATTAAATTGTTTGAGTCCCAGACAGCTGTAAGTGTTGAATGACAGTTGTTTGGTTTTACTTTATTCATATGTATTATTTATATTACTATATTTTATATACTTATTTTGTGCAATTAGAAAGATGTGTTTGTTTCAGAGGTCTTATTTGGTAATAATAATTTATTTTCTTGTTTGCAGATGACGGTCAACTGGTTTCAGATGCAGCAGGTGCAGGTGGTTTCCCTGCCTGTGAATTTCCAGTCGCTATGTGAGAACGCTAAACTGTATGAACCGGGTCTGTGTTACACTGAATTTGTGAAGAGTCTTCCCTCTGGCAGGACCAGGGTGGAATCGTTCTCCTTTGACATCTCTGGGACACAGAACACTGGGTAGGTTTATATCACTTTTTAAACTTTTTCCCAGCTCCGAACATTCCCACCAAGATGAGTATCCAGGAAAGTCTATGTTTTGGAATCACTATGCCAAGTTCTGCGTCTTAAAACTGGCAACAGCCGGCTTGTTTTTTTCCAAATCTTTGACTTTTAAGTCACTGAGTGATGGAGAAAGAGAGAGAGAAAATGAATTGTGTTGGTGAGAATGTCACACAATTGTGTGGTCGCCCTCAGGTCTTCCTGAGGAAATGGCTGTGGTCAGGGCAGAGAGGGATACAGGGAACGGGACAGGAGTGAAGGGAGGAATGTTTCTAGTTGTTCCTATTTATCAGTTCTCATGTCCACGCACTCTTTCTGGCACACGAATCCGAGTTGTGTTGGGGACCATGTTTCAGAGTAGCCTCTTTAAAAACACACCTCTTATTCCTGAAACGAAACTCAAAAGCAGTCCAGTCAAAACACCCATGTTCTAACACAAGGTTCTTTTTTATTCATGGCTTGGTGAGTGATTTAGTTGGAGGCCTTTTGTTTTGAACTGTCAAGAGGTTTTACTGAAAATGCCTGGAAGGTGGTGAAAACTGAAATGCATGTTTTTGGCAACACTTTAGATTTAGGACCACATTAGCTATTAACTAGTTTGCATGCATATTACTAACATATTGGCTGTTTATTATTGGCAGTAAGCAGTAATTAGGATTTTATTGAGGGAAAGCTATTAGTTAATAGTGAATGTGTTCCGTAATCTAAAGTGTTACCATATTTTCAATACATTTTTAATACATACATATTTTTTAAGCATATTAACATTAATGAAGCATTTTAATGGCCAACTATGTTCTTTCTCATATCATGTTTGTGGTATATAAGCTGTCTGAACTAGTTCTAACTGGTTTTCTGAAATACCTTTTTATGTTCATGCAGGTTGCCTCTCTCAAAAAGAGTGATAAATAGCGGTCACTCAACCCAAGTTCACTTGTCCCAGGTGTCTCTCACACCTGGAGACTTCCTGAGCGCAGACGAGGTGGAGAGTCACGTCCAAGCACGCACCGGAAAGATGACAGACGGACGCTCCAACAGCAGCACAGATATTCAAGGTAGCGCATTACTTGCAACCTCTTTAATTTTGAACAGATTTTCTTTAAAAACACAGCATGTTTTAATGCATGTTTCAGTGAGGTCCAGTGCATCACTGAGGGGTTTGGCTGACTTCCCTGGAATGCTAAAAGTGAATCAGTCCCTCAGGATGTGCCCTCGTTTATCTCTTTCATGAAAAAGTTACTTCTTTTCACTAATGACAGATCAAACCTCCACTCTGAGATACGCCTGTCAGACCTGCTTTTAGCAGAGATCAATTGGACACATTAGTGTTTTAAGACTTCTCATTAAGGTTTACGAGAGTATGAAGGAAGAAAGGGCAGAGGAAGTGGGCGGCAGATGCACATGCAGCACTCAACTGATCATCTGCGGAGATGTTCTTGACTCTCATTTCCTATTTCCTGAATCAACTTTATCATCCTATTTATTGTTAGGGCTGGGTATCAATACTTATTCAATAATTATTATTTGATTCAATTCATTTGGGTATATTTCAGTTATAGTGTTCATTTTGCATACCGTATACATGAAGGAAACTCTCTTTCTACTAATACTGTAATTTTTACAGTCCACTCTTTCAAACTGTTTCAAATATAGTAATTTTAATAAAAACTTTTAATTATAAGATCCAGTTCGTAAGAGTCATTTGTTGTTTCAGGAATTGGGCTAAACTGGTACATGTATGGGAATGAATGACTAAAAAGAACTGGTTCATGAGAGTCATTTGTTTCAGGAATCAGGCTACACTGGTACACTATTTCATTTGGTTAAGATTTAAAAAATCAAAATCAAAAAGACTCATTTGTTTCAGGAATCAGGCAAACTATGTATTTATGATTCAATACAAATGATCCAGCTCATAAGAGTAATTTGTTTCAGGATTCAGACCGCACTGATACACTATATGCTTATGATTCACTAAAAGGAACCGTTTAGTAAGAGTCGTTTGTTTTGGGAATCTGCCTATTACTGTAAAGCTGCTTTGAGGCCTTCTGTAAAAAGAACCTGTTCATAAGAGTCGTTTGTTTCAGGAATCACTGTACGCTTGTGCGGTATATGGTTATGATTCACCAGAAATGAACTGCTTCATAAGAGTCATTTGTTCATGAATCAGTCATGTACAGTATGTACCATGTTATCAAGTAAAACTCAAGGATGGATAAACATACGGTATACCTTAAAGTAGAACTTGTATATTGAGATAAAAGTTGCTGAATGTTATGTCGTGTTTGATAGCCCTGAGGATCCAGGGTCCGTTCCGGGTCTGGAGGACCAACAGTCAGGGTGGAGGCATGTGCAGTGACTCTGAGAGCGCTGGAGGAAGCAGTGAATCTCGCTCTATGGACTCCCCTACGGCAAGCCCAGGTGCAGCAACACTCACTCTTACTTCTATAAATCTCTTTTTGCTTGAGGCAAAAAACACACATGATCGATAGGTCTTGTGTCACAAGTGTGTAACATAGTTATGGTAAACCAACCAGTCACGCTTTCTGGTGCATAATTACCCAGAAAGTTATTAAGTGCTTACAGTAACATTCCCTTCATGTTTACTCTTAAATACATTACCATTCAAAAGCAAGTCAGTACGTTTTTTTTTTAAGAAATTAATAATTTTATTCAGCAAGAATGCATTAAATTGATCAAAAGTGTCAGTAAAGACATTTATAATGTTATTTCTATGTTACACTTTTGATATTTCTATTCGTCAAAGAATCCTGAAAAAATGCATCACGGGTTCCACAAAAATATGTTTTCAGCATTGAAAATAATAGGAAATGTTGAAATATTTAACATTTTTCAAATATGTTAACATAGAATGAAGTTATTTTAAATTGTAATAATATTTCACAGTATTATTGTTTTTACCGTATTTTTGATCAAGTAAATGCAGTCTTCGTGGTGACTTGTTTAAGAAATATTTAAAAATCTTACCAACCCCAAACTTTTGAATGGTAATCATCTGTATACAATTTTGTAAAAGAATATCTGCTTTTTAATCAATAATCAATTTGTAATAATTGTAAAAATAAACAAAGTATTGAAACTAATCATCCCCTTCTGCCATTTTACAGGTGATTTTAAGAGAAGGCTTCCCAGAACCCCATCTACAGGCACCATGTCTTCAGCAGATGATCTGGATGAGAGAGAACCACCATCTCCTTCAGATAATGGTGAGCTTTTTGTACATTGAATAACACAAACATGCTCTCGGGCTGTTTGACATTGCATACATATTGTACAGAATGCACAGAATGTCATCCAAGCATGTTGACAGTCCGCTAGAATTGTTGCTGGAAACATTTTCCAGAGTCTTCTGGAAATATCCTGATGAGCAGAGCAAAACTAAAACTCTAAACATTGTTTTTTAGGTCTGAGCGAAATGTTAACGGAGGCAGCCAGCTCTCCTGGACCCTTCCGCAACACACAGATGTCTAAAGCGGCACAGACGCACAAGCTGAGGAAGCTCCGTGCACCATCAAAGTGCAGGGAGTGTGATAGTCTTGTGGTATTTCACGGTGCTGAATGCGAGGAAGTGAGTTCTTACATGCACTCATGTCATTTCACACACAAATAAATTATTGTTTGTAAGATAATGTTTTATGTTGTTGTGTTGCAAATGCCATTTCATGCCTTTAAGGTGAAGAATAATGTATGGGGATTTACTTATGTAATCTAATCTTTGGCCATGTTATTTTCAGTGTTCTCTTGCTTGTCATAAGAAGTGTTTGGAGACTCTTGCCATTCAGTGTGGGCACAAAAAGCTACAGGGAAAACTGCATCTGTTTGCTATTGACTTTGCTCAGGCAGCCAAGAACAGTCCTGATGGAATCCCCTTCATCATTAAAAAATGCACCTCGGAGATCGAAAACAGGGCTCTGAACATCAAGGTGTGTACTTCCTCTTTATGTCTTATGTGTTTCCTGGAGGATATGAATTGTAAATGCTGAGCAAGACTGAAAGGAGATGTTTTGTTGTTTATAAAAAAGGGAATTTACCGTGTTAACGGTGCCAAATCTCGGGTGGAGAAGCTTTGTCAGGCCTTCGAGAACGGCAAAGACCTGGTTGAGCTTTCGGATCTCTACCCTCACGATATCAGCAACGTCCTCAAACTCTACCTACGACAGGTGTCTGTCAAACTTAACTTTACGTTTTTTTTTTTTTTTTTTTTTTTTTTTTTGACGTTCTAAATAGGCGCGCCACGTGCTTGAATTTCACAGCCGAACAGCACACAATTCTGTCATGTTGCTGTGTTAAATATAATTGAAATACTATAACTTAAACATGCTGCACGCACTGTACGTCCTCACGTAAAAGCCAGTCAGGCACAAATTTTATTTCCTCGGAGAGCACACGCGAACGTGACAATCTTCTTAATGTAATGTAACTACATTTCGAAGTAAGGCTGCATTTGTATGAAATACGACTTTACCGAAGCGCTGTCTCAGAGACACGTGTGATTTTGTGAGCTTTTTGAAAGAAACAGGTCAGAAAAATCACTTTAGAGAAAGAGAGAGCAAGGTAACGATATATTTATTTAATTTCATAGTGTATAACGTTAGTATTTCGAATTAATATCGCAGTTTTATGAATTAACTCACCGAGGAACTAATCGTTGAGCAATTGATAATTTTCAAAACATTAATTTGTCTATTAGAAATCGGCGACGACAGACAGTTGTTGACTTTTAAAGGCTTTGTAGTGTATGAGCGACATAAGGGGTTTGTTAGGTCTATACTGGGTTGATAATGAAAATTAAATATCAAATACAAATGATTTTTAATTTGATTTTTGATAAAGTTCATGCTTCCCCGATTGAGGATATTAAATTGCATTTGATATCTCATTTGAGCAGTTGTTTTGAGAGTTTGATTTATTATTTGATAATTTGAGTATTTGATTTATCACTAGATGTTTTGTTGTTTTTTAAAAAGGGAATTTACCGTGTTAACGGTGCCAAATCTCGGGTGGAGAAGCTTTGTCAGGCCTTCGAGAATGGCAAAGACCTGGTGGAGCTTTCAGATCTCTACCCTCACGATATCAGCAACGTCCTCAAACTCTATCTACCTACGGTGTCTGTCAAACTTAACTTTACGTTTTTTTTTTTTTTTTTGAATGCTTCTACATTTATTATTAGCAATTATGAAATGTAATTATTTAAGAAACATTTTTAAAAATGTTGATTATCAGACCTTATTTATTTATTTACCTATTTCTAAAATAAATTCAAAATGATTGCATACTTTTTAATAATAAAAATGATAATTTTATACCCCTCAGCTCCCAGAGCCCCTGATTCTTTTCCGATTCTATAACGACTTCATCGGATTGGCCAAAGAGAGTCAGAGTATCATTGTTGATGAGGTAGAGGCGTCAAGAGGAAACCCCACCCCCGACAGCTCGCAGATCAGCGTAGAGCTCAAGCGCGTCCTCTTCAAGATCAAAGACCTGCTGCGTCAGCTTTCTTCAGCCCACTACAAAACCCTGCAGTTCCTTATTCAGCACTTGCACAGGTGTTTGACTCTCACACAGACACAAACAAGCACAATTATGGAAGTCATGTTATTTGTCCATTTCATCCAAATAAGAACCTGACTTAACTGACTATTAAGAACTGGGTGTTTTAATAAGAATATCAGTGCTAACAGCATCAGAAAGCACAGTGTGTAATCACATGTTTCTTTTTAATAGGGTGTCAGAAAGAGCAGATGAAAACAAGATGACTGCCAGTAATCTGGGCATCATTTTTGGGCCCACACTGATCAAGCCCAGACAGGCCGATGCAGAGATCTCCCTGTCCTCTCTGGTGGACTACCCCTACCAGGCCCTGATCGTGGAGCTTTTGATCCGCCATTATGAGATGTTCTTCGATACTCCTCTGAGTCCTCTTCCACCTTCCTCCCCTGTAGCAGAGAGCTCTCCACTCCCTATCAAATCACGCTTCACCCCACAGGAGAAGGAGCAACAGCTTAGCCGACATTCAAAGTCCCTGGTGGACATTAAAGAGGTGAGGCGGTTTTTGATGTTTATGATGATAATTGGTGAAAATATTGTTTTTTTTTAAATAAATAATTAATAAATATAATTTATAACTTGCTATCCTACTGGAAAGTTCTTCAAACCAGATTCTAATAGTTTGATAGGTTTCAAACTGGTCCGACCTTGTCATTACCTGGTCAAGATGGTTGTTTATCTGGACTAATAGCTGGTTGGACCATCTTGATCAAGCTACAAAGTCCCTGGTGGACATTAAGGAGGTGAGGCGGTTTTTGATGTTTATGATGATAATTGGTGAAAATATTGTTTTTTTTAAAATAAATAATTAATAAATATAATTTATAACTTGCTATCCTACTGGAAAGTTCTTCAAACCAGATTCTAATAGTTTGATAGGTTTCAAACTGGTCCGACCTTGTCATTACCTGGTCAAGATGGTTGTTTATCTGGACTAATAGCTGGTTGGACCATCTTGATCAAGCTAGTTAGGACTGGTTAGGACCACCTTTGACCAGTAACAATTGGGTTCCTTGTGGTCCAAGATGGTCCAGTCCTATCCACCATGCCTGATGAAAACCAAGTCCACCAATGGGTTTTTCCGGCAGAAAAGATCAAACTAAATCTTGGAAGTCGACCAAGTGAAAATTCCTTGAATTTAATAAAAACTGTATCTACTAAAGGAACAGTAATTCATATTTCTGTCTTTGTTTCATTGTCTCAAAGCAGCCAAAAGCTAAGATGTATAAAAGACATTCCTCCGTAATACCTTCTACACACCTGATGGATGAGGTGAAAGAGGGTAAGATAAGGTCTGACAAAGACTTCGCTGCAGGTCAGTATTGTTTTATTTGGCTAAAAAAACCCATAGAGCGATTATCAAACAACCAAACTTCAACTTTTCTCTTTCTCTGTCTTTACATGCAGTTGATGATACAGTGGACATCAACAAGCTCCTATCGTCAAGCGTTCCTGAAATGCGAAACTCGCCCGGTCTCAGTCGCCGTAACCACATCACCAGAGTTCAACTTCGGCCTCCGAGACCCAAGCTGACCTCTCGACCGATCAGCATGCCAGCCGAGCGACTCCTCAACCTCGCCAAGGTGGACGGATGTAACGTAAAGAACGCTGTGGAGCAGGATGACAACCACGGTCGAGATCCTGTAATCGAGAAGGTGTCCGAAGAGGAGAAGCCCAAGTCCAGAGCGGGAAACCATTACAGGAAATCTTACATCGATACGCAGACACTAAGGCGGACTTGGGACAAGCAATATAAGCATCATGACATCACTCCGAAGACCTTCGTGATTACGACCAACTGTCCTTCTGATTCCGGGACCAACGATGCCAGCGTTCATACTACTTCTCTTACGTCTTCGTCTTTCTCAGAACACACCAAAACCCCCAACACTGTTCTTGCTAACAGACCCTACACCATTGCTGTGAGGCCTGGACGGACTTTACGTAGGGAAGGAAAAGTTAGCGAGTACTGCCCCGTTCCCACAGCCTTCAGGCCTCCCAGAACTCTGCAACCTCCTCCTGGAACGTTCTACAAACCTCCAGGTAGCCGAACCAAATCATTAACAGAGGTTGAGCTTAAGACTAGTAGAGCAACTGCAAACAGCACTGAGGAAGAAGAGGAGGATGAGGAGGAGGAGGAGGAGGAAGGGTTTGGGGTGGAAGTCTCAGTTGATGAGCCTGAGCCAGATTTGGACCCAGAACCATCACCAGAGCCGGATGCCCACAATACGGACCCACTTCCGCTCCCCCAGTCTCCCAGCTCCAGTTCGGAGGAGCTCGGACAAAACGAGACCAAACCAGTGTACCAGAGACTCAGATCGCGCCGCATGCAGGATCTTGAACACAGGGAGGCTCATTTTGTTTGAGAGTTGAACACGTACAATTCTGGAGCTTTTGGTGAATGGGGAGCAACCACAAATTGGATCCAGGGGGCCTGCTTGTTTTGTCTCAGGCCCGTGATTTTTAGTGACGGCCCCATTTTGTATATGTGGAAATATGTTTCCATAACTGTGAAGAGATCCAAGGATGTGTTATATATCTATCTATTAATATATTCTGCATCTGCTGTTTGTAATAATCAAACAAACCCCTTGGACAAGAATTTACACAGTATGCACTTAATGTTTTTTTACTTTATCACATCACTTATGCACCAATGCAAGGTCAAAACAACCCATTTTTACATTGTAACTCCAGAATGTCACTGTCACTGTGCAATTTCAATTACACTGTATATGGATTTGTTGTTTAAAAAAAAATATATAAAATATATATATATTCTGTGTATTTCTGTATTTTTATGTTTTACACCAAAACCAAATTGACCAAGCTGTTACAGTTGAGCATGGTCACTTTATTATAATCATAAAATGCACTTATTAGACTTTGGAACCGAATTGAATTGTTGAACTACATGCAGTGTTAATTTTGTTATTCATGAACAACAAGACAGATGTACAAAGGTATTTTTTATTTTTGCCTTGTTTCTTTTTTATACAAAAAAATTTCATATTATTGTTTTTTAATCTGTTAATAGAAAGTTTTCATAATTGCAATTTGGCCCACATATATTAAGTGTTCATATAATATTGTAACAGTTTGCCTAAAGTTTTTTTTCTTTTCTTTTTATTATTATTTTTAATGGTTCATATCAACAACAACTGAAATGTCAATATACCCAAAACAAGCAAGTCAAGCCAAAGCAAGTGCCTTCATTTATGAGAGTCCACTGACTGGTTGTCCAACACAAATTAGCTGGTCTAAACCCAATTTAATTCCAGTTTAAGACTCAATCGGTGTCTTTTGTAAATGGCACCCATGTATCTGATGTGATGATATAAACAGATTCCTTTAACAGCATTTTCAAGATGTCTTACCTTCCTTCAAGTGTAAAAACAGGTACATGTGAGAATACACACTTGTAACTTATTAAAATCACAGCTGACGTAATGTTTGATTTTATGTTTTTACTTGAACTTGTGCTGCATAACAAAAATATGTTTAAATGCTTATACTAAACTATGGTCAAATGCACATTGCAATGTTTTGAGAGTTTTTACATGAACGAATCACCTAAAATATTATTTGTGTGTTGGCCATTGGGGCATGTTGTCACAAAAGAAAATGTGTATTTAATGAATTGTATCTTTTTCCCTGGACAATGACAGTGGAAATAACCGTTTTTTTCCTTCATACTTTAACTTACAGTAACTGTGACAACTTGCCCCGTTCTCTAATATATATAGTATATTCACCACTAGTAAATGAGATTGAATTTATAAGTGTTCATATTCGCCACCAATTGGCTGTTAGTTAGGTCACAGGTCCAGCGAAGCATAGATTGGGCTCAGAGCACTGGCTCTTTCACTGGTGAAAGGAGTTTAATTCAATCAGATTAGAAAGCTGCTTTGCGTCTGCAGCAAACCTACAGTCAGTTGAGTAAGAGCTTCAGCAGATGTAAGCGTAAAAGAGCATTCTTCTCCTGAGGTGAGTTCTTTCTGTTTAATTATGTTTTACATGTGTCTTTTAGCCGTTTCCGAATGAATGGTGATTGGGTGTAGGGCTGCACGATTATGACAAAAATCATAATTGTCGATTATTCCCTTGAAATTGGGATTATTAATTACGATTATCACAATTTACATTGAATGATGTTTATACCATTGTTTGATGCAACTGCATGTCGTGTTTTTATATGAAAATAAACAAGTTGAAAACACTAACTGAAAAAACCTTTAGTGCTTTTCTATAGTATAAGCCTGAGATGTCAAATATCGGATTGGTTTCTTCTTTAAATTATAAAAAAAAGTAAAAATATGAATGGTATTATGATGTTATACTAAAACTAAAACCATGGAAAAACCCTTACGATAACATGTAGAAAGAAAAAAAACATATCGTGCAGAATAACATAAGTGGACTTTGAATGATTAATTTGCCGCTTTGAACGATTACGTAATTGTGGCATCCATAATTGTAATCGCGATTAGAAATTCGATTAATAGGGCAGCCCTAATTGGGTGTTACATAAAAAAAGCATTCAGGCCTATTACGTAAGAGCACTGTGTTTGTCTCTAACATGATGAAACATTTTGACAGCCCACACAATTAATTTCTTGTCTCATTATGTGTCATGATTGGTCTTATGATCCGTCCAGATACACTTTTAACTCTTGTCTTTTAGTCTGTCTTTAGTTTTAGTTTATTTTGCACCTTTCTGAGGGATAGAAATCAGGAACTGATTTGATTGCTACCTCATCCTACATCAAAAACCAATAGGTTTTTATTTGCCCTGTTGCTCACTGGGGGTTTGTGAGGCACTGTTTTCTGTAAAACTGCTTCGGAACGGTATGTATGAAGTCTTGCATGAGGTCTTATGTGGATTCTTAGGTTGGGATTAGACCACTGGTGCATTTGACGCATACATTTCTTAAAATAATCAGATATACAACCATGTTGAAATGTTTGATGGAGATGAAATGTCCATGAGTGTCTTGTCTGTGGTTGTCATGGTTGTCCAGGTAGGGCACCTGTACGTGACCTCCTGTGGGGGTGAAGAGCAACAGTCATGGGAACCAACAGCCAGGTGCGGCTGCTCCTCTGGAAAAACTGGACTGTCCGCAAGAGGCAGAAGGTGAAAAGTTCAGCTTATTTTCTCACTATATGCATAGGGCATCTGGAAATTACTACATTTCACTGAGTAAAAGTAAATTCCAGTCATGTCATACAATGAATTTGGGTTGAGATTTTGTTCTAGGACTTAAACAGCTTCAAGTGACTAGCTTGATACAGCTCAAAGGTTTTGTACAGTATACAGTTTTATGCAAAAGTTTGGGCACCCCTCTGAGGGTCACATAATAATGTGATCTTTCTTTATAAGAAAAGATTGTAGTGACATGCCATTTAGTTTCTAGAGAAAGCTGGATAATGTGATAATGGATAGTCTAGCAGTATCGAGGTGTGTGAAATAAAATAGAAAGTAAAAATTGGGCTGTGCAAAAGTTTGGGTACCCTCTCAGTTGTGTGGATTTGAATACCTGTAGAGTCACTTAATGCTGATTGATTGCAACACAAAATTGATTTGATTGATTCAATGAACATTAAAACTGCAAGCACAGGTGCAACCAATCGTGAAAAAGGATATTTAAGGTAGCTGATTGCTAGTTGTGCTTCTCCTTGATCTCTATGGGAAAGTAGCAACATGGGAACCTCAAAAGAACTCCCTAATGACCTAAAAACTAGGATGATTCTTCAATATGAATTAGAAGAAGGATACAAAAAGTTAGCACGAAGGTTTAAAGTCTCTGTCTCCACAGTCAGAAAAATAGTTAGAAAATGGAAGGCCACAGGAACAGTCCTTGTGAAAGAAAAATGTGGTAGGCCAAGAAAAAAATCTAAAAGGCAAAGGTGAAGAATGGTTCGAATGGTCTCAGACAAACCACAGACCACCTCCAAAGAGCTCCAAGAACATCTGGCTGCTGAGAGTGTCATTGTACATCGTTCCACAGTCCAGCGCACTTTGCACTTTGACCCTTGCAGCTCAATGGAGCCTTTTCTGAGTACTGCCAACAAGCAGAGTCGTTTGAGTTATGCAAAGGCTCATCTGGACAATCCAGAATTATTTTGCAATAATGAGCTGCGGACAGAAACTTAGAGTTATTTGGTCACAACGGGAGGCACTTTGCATGGCGGAAAAAGAACGCAGCGTTCCAGCTCCCTACTGTAAAAATTGGTGGCGGGTCCATCATGCTGTGGGACTGTGTCAAGCACAGGTACTGGAAACCTTGTCAGAGTTGAGGGTCTCATGGATTCCACCCAGTATCAGCAGATTCTCTAGAAAAATTTTCAAGAATCAGTCAAGAGGTTGAAGTTACGTCGGGGTTGGTTGTTTCAGCAGGACAGTGACCCAAAGCATTGTTCCAAATCTACCAAGGAATTCATGCACAGACACAGATACAATGTAGAATGGCCATCCCAGTCCCCAGACTTGAACATCATCGAAACTCACAGGCTGTTATTTCAGCAAAAGGTGGCTCTACTAAATATTGATGTCATTATTCCATTAGGGTGCCCAAATTTCTGTCAGTTTTTGTTATGACTCTCATTGCATTGTTTCTGTTGATTCAGTAAATGTTATTTCATAACTGAAATGTTACTGTTTCCTTAAGGTATAAATTATATCCAAATTAAGTTACTGCTTCGAAAGTCCAGCAGATTATAAATTGAAATTATGATAATTATCAGGGGTGCCCAAACGTTTGCATAAAACTGAATTAACAAAAAAGGATATGTCTTTACTGTCATCTTAAGCATTTCTAATATATTTCCTGCATTTTCACGCCAGACGCGGCTCTTTATGGAGATTATGTGGCCTGTGGTGCTATTCATTGGACTGGTTTGGCTGAGAAGAGCGAACCCCCTTTACCGGCAACATGAATGTATGGATCCCTGAAGATGATTTAAAAAAACTTTTAAATTAAATTTTATTAAAAATGTTTAATAATATATATTATACTTTAATATCTTTAAATACATTTTGAATAATTTATTTAATATTATTTTAAGTAAAAAATAGTATATATTTTTATGATATATATTTTTAATATGCAAGGTGGTGGTGGTGGGGCTTTGGTAACCAACGGAGACGAGAGATTGTCAATATGATGCAATAAAGAAAAGCCTGGTTTACTATCCTAATGTCTTGCTCTGACAAAGGATCTTAATACAATCTTGTATATTTGAATAAAAGTATAATACAATTGTGTAATTCTGCATTTTACTACATTCATCGCATCATCTCCAATGTCAACAAGACAAAAAAGTACCAAAAGTACCATAGTTTGATATGGTACCTTGTTTTTTGTGCATGTACCATGGTAGCGCTATAGCACTATGTAAACACTACAACACTACAGTATGTAAATATGGTAATAATTCAGTATCATGATATATGTAGTGGGGTCCAAATTAGACTACATTGAAAAACTGGTATTGCAAATATAAATAACTGTTTTTAAATAAACATTTTAGAATTCTTTTAATTTTAATGAATAAGAAATGTTATAATACAACAAAATAATGATTAATAAAAATTTAGGATAGGAATTTCTAGATCACCAATCATATTATGTTTACACACATATATATATATATATATATATATATCGATAGATTTTTAACAATTTTTATATATATATACATATAGTTCAATATCTTTAAAGACATTATTTATACACAACATTTCCAGTGTCATATTCAAGGAGCAGCAGCTCCCACTGATGTTGGCTGATGTCTGTGATGCATATGCTCCTTTGTTGGCAATAATAACCAGTTTTCTCGACCTCAGGTCACTTCCCAAACAAAGCCATGCCCTCCACTGGCATCCTTCCATGGGTCCAAGGGAT